TCTCTGTCTCTAGGAGGTTTGCGCGGCAATGGATCGTCATGCTGAGCGTGCTGAATGTCCACTGTCATCAGGTAGTGGTCCGTGGCCAGTGCTGCGCCGCTGTGTGGTTTTAAATTACGTATTTGGGCCAAGGTGGGAGCATCGCGCATGATGTAATCCAAAATGTTGTATTTCATTCGGTAATAGGCCCCAGTGGTTTGGCGCCCGCCTCCATGGAGGTAACGGCGTCTTCCAGAGGCCGCTCAAAATAGGTATTTGCCAATATTAGTTCGAGGCCAAAGCAAAACTCCATGAGCAAATCCCGGTTGGGAACTCCGACTTGATGTAAGGCCCGCCTACACCAAGTGAATGGCCCTACTGTCGTCGATTCCCCAGCGTCTGCATGCCCAACTCGTGCATTCACGTCCCCCATGATAAGCTTGCCGGCTGTGGCTGAGCACGTCCAGAATTCGGTGTCCAGAGTACTCCAAAACATGCGTCTCTCCGTCAAGGGCTTCAAGTTGTGGGGCGCATACACGCCGAAGATCCCGAATCTACGAATACCAATTTTGATTTTCAATTGTATAAACTGCTTGCAAGATCGTACCAGAGGCACGTGACTGGGAGAGATGATGAAGCCAGCTCCAGACCAATATGTTGCATCTGTATCTTCTCCAGAAAGAATGATGCGGCTGCCACTGTTCTCATCTACGTTGTATTATGCTTTTGTTTTCCGTGTTTCCTGCATGCAAAGAATATGTTTTCTGCATGTCTCCATGTGCTTTGTTATTTCCTCGGGAGGGTCACTCAAAGGACCTCGGGAGGGTCACGCAAAGGCGACCTTTAGTATTACCTTTAGTTATACCCGTTGTTCGGCCAGGTCCTGCTCGGTTTTCAGCATGACAACATGTGTCCTGCAGGCTTCGAGCTTTGCCTCGACCTCCTGCGGGCAAGCATGGTCCGTGCCCATGCCGCCAGCCGTACCCATTCACGTGCAGGAATGGACAGTAGAGGGACAAACAGTGGAACCCCTTCGTTTTCGACCCCTGGTTTGCTTCCCCCCTTCCCCCCAGACTCAAAGTTGGCGTCTGTCCTGCTGGGAGGTTCCTGTTGTTTTGTCCTTTCGAGCGGGTGCTCCCAACTGCTCTGGGTCAATGTATACATATAACGGCGCACCGGGTCCTGGGGCCCGGGGCCAGGACCACGACCACAAATGTGGGCTCCGGGGGGCCCGGAGGCTCGTCGGGGCTTGCCGGAGGCCTCCCCGGTCAGACAAGACGGCCCCAGGAGCGCCCAAGACGGCCCAATAAACTTCCAAGAGGCCTCCAAGAGAGCGCCCAAGACGGCCCAAGAAACTTCCAAGAGGCCTCCAAGAGGGCTCCGATATGCTGAAGATGGCCTCCAGACGTCCAAGGACGCCCCCAAGAGGCCCCAAGAAGCCTGCAACATGCGTCCCAAGAGGGCCGCTAGACGCAAAAATTGGCCCATTCCCTTCGTAAAACGTACATTTTCAACAAAGTTGTCTTTTGGGCTTTCCGACGTTACAGGACGGCCCAAGAGGCGCCCAAGACCGCCCCAAGACGGCCCAAGACGCTTCCAAGAGGGCCCCAGGACAGCCCAAGAGGGCCCCAAGACGGCCCAAGAGGCGCCCAAGATGGCCCAAGAGGGCCCCAAGACGGGCCCAAGAGGGGGCCCAGAGGGGGACCACGAACCGCAAGCTCGAGCCTTCCGCCCCAAGAGGCCGCCAGGAGGCCCCCAGGAGGCCCCTCAAGAGGCCCCAGGAGACCCCAGACGTCCAAGGACGCCCCCAAGAGGCCCCAAGAAGCCTCCAACATGCGTCCCAAGAGGGCCCCTAGACGCAAAAATTGGCCCATTCCCTTCGTAAAACGTACATTTTTCACAAAGTCGCCTTTTGGGCTTTCCGACGTTACAGGACGGCCCAAGAGGCGCCCAAGACCGCCCCAAGACGGCCCAAGAAGCTTCCAAGAGGGCCCCAGGACAGCCCAAGAGGGCCCCAAGACGGCCCAAGAGGCGCCCAAGATGGCCCAAGAGGGCCCCAAGACAGGGCCCAAGAGGGGGCCCAGAGGGGGACCACGAACCGCAAGCTCGAGCCTTCCGCCCCAAGAGGCCGCCAGGAGGCCCCCAGGAGGCCCCCAGGCCCCTCAAGAGGCCCCAGGAGACCCCAGACGTCCAAGGACGCCCCCAAGACGCCCCAAGAAGCCTCCAACATGCGTCCCAAGAGGGCCCCTAGACGCAAAATTGGCCCATTCCCTTCGTAAAACGTACATTTTTCACAAAGTCGCCTTTTGGGCTTTCCGACGTTACAGGACGGCCCAAGAGGCGCCCAAGACCGCCCCAAGACGGCCCAAGAAGCTTCCAAGAGGGCCCCAGGACAGCCCAAGAGGGCCCCAAGCGGCCCAAGAGGTGCCCAAGATGGCCCAAGAGGGCCCCGAAACGGGCCCAAGAGGGGGCCCAGAGGGGGACCACGAACCGCAAGCTCGAGCCTTCCGCCCCAAGAGGCCGCCAGGAGGCCCCAAGGAGGCCCCTCAAGAGGCCCCAGGAGACCCCCAAGAGGCCCAAAGGAGGCCCCGAGAAGCCCCAAATCGGCCCCCAACATGCTTCGAACCTGCTTCCAGGAGGCCCCCGACAGGTTCAGAGGCTCCCGAGAAGCTACGTCAAACTCCCAGCGAGCGACGGGACGAGGCCCCCCACAAAATCACAAGAGGCTCCACAGGCGGCCCAAGAGAGCCCCAAGATGGGCCCGAGAGGGATTCCACGCAAGTTGTTATTGTATGGCTCGGGAAAGGACGAGGATGAGGAGGAAGACGAGGAGGAGGAGGAGGAGGAGGAGGAGGAGGAGGAGGAGGAGGAGGAGGAGGAGGAGGAGGAGAGGGAGGAGGAGGAAGAGGAGGAGCAGGAGAAGGAGGAGGAGGGGTGCTGTGGACGCCGCTGTGACGTGGCCCGCCAGATTGCCAATTGTTGCCCGATATGGGCCGCTAGATTAACGCCAGATTGGCTTCGACTTCGCGCCACCAATTTCTTCTCACAACGATTCCTGGGTCTGTGACTCGACAGAACCTAAGCGCGCGCGAAGCGCGCGCGTGGTTCTAGTTGGATAGAGGGGGGAGGAGGCGGGGGCGGAGCCAAGGGTTTCAGGTTTTTGTGCATTTACGGGAGGTCCCAGGTCCTCCCTGGCGCCCGGCTGGGACGTCTTCTTGACTTCTGCGTGGTAGGCTTTTCTTGCGTCCTTCGCGCTCTTGACGGCCAGGTTGCTCGCGGGAATCAGCAACGTCTGCAAGACCCCCCCCCCGCATTTCTCGTCAATCCCGCCGTGTTATTCAACGCAGGCGTGGCCACCATGGTAACTAATTTCGAATCGTTTGAGAATTGCTCGCTTGCTTCCTTGCCCCGAGGATTTCGAACTTGCCTTCGCCCAAGCATCGCCACTTTCCTCGGCCCATTGACGCTTGGGCCGAGGCTCCCCCTCCCGCCGTCATCCAGGTTCGCTTCTGGTCCATGGCGTGGCGGTGCTCTCGGCCCAGTCGCAAGATGCGTGCAATGATGTCTTTGCAAGAGCTCGAACAGTCCAGCTACATGTGGGCACCGAGGACAGGCGATAGAGAACGGCACTTTCTTCTCATGTAGGCTACGGGTAACGTTCAGTGCCACACTTTCTTCGTCTAGTACTCGGCGATACGTGTCGCCTGCACCGTGCACAGCATGTGAGACTTACCCGCATGCGCAACATTTATACACTGACAGGCGATGTCCAAGTTCTGGATAACCGTGATGTGCGATGATGTCTGTGCCCCGCACCTCGGTCGCTCAAGATACGCCCGCAGACCTCACCTCCAAGGCTCTGACATCATATAATAGTGTCTTGACCCACGGTGACGCTGCGCCCTCCAGCCGCCTAGTATGCGACATCTGAGGCAAGGAGCAGTCAACACGTTCAAACCGAGCAGTGATAGCCTGTTGGTTAGCAAGCGGTGCATGCGCAAGCGTCGGAGAGTGAGTTCTGTGCTCATCTGAACGAGTCGCTACCATCGCACCACAGCAGCCGAGGTTATAGACTCAGGGCGTATGTGATCCTCACGATCGCATGCCCTCCCCCCGTTGCCTGTCTAGCATACGCCGCCACCATCTCAATCACATCAGCCAGGCCAGCATCGGTGGGTGCAAAGACTTCCAGACCAGACAGTGCAGCACTGTAGATATGGAGTATATACGCACAGCGTCGAAGCCGATGTGTGATCACAGCAGCGCTCCAACAACCGAGAGAAACCAGGATCGATGCAAAGGCGTTCCCCGAGATTCGAGTTCAGGCCCGCATCCGTGGCACTCGCAGGCATGATGAAGCTTGCACTCTTGATTTCCAGCGAAGCAGTGACGTCAAGACACCTGTTCGTGCACCCCGAATGTCACGCGCAGCCGTTGGATTTCTGAGGGATGCGAGAGTGTATTGGTTCGTAAGGTTCTGTCGTATTCTTCGCGGGCCTAGCGCAGCGTCCAGCTCCTGAGTCGAGCTTTTAGATTTTCTCTCAAGAATCGTGCCACCAGCACCCACCAGCTTTTTGCCAGGTCGCGGGCTTGTTATGCGAGCGGAAGGTCTGCCAGGCGGCGCGTCAGAGGACAACGAACGCGCATGGAAGTGGAGAGAGGGTCTGATTGCTGCTGCATGTCGCTCCAGTGGGATACTGCCAGTAGGAACTCTCACACAAGCGTGGAGGAGGAGGAGGAGGAAAACGAGGAGGAGGAGGAGGAGGAGGAGGAGGAGGAGGAGGGGGAGGCGGAGGGAGAGGAGGAGAATGACTAGTAGGAGGGGGAGGGGGGATAAGGGGACTAGTAGGAGGAGGTTGAGGAGGGGGAGGAGGAGGAGGGGCGGAGGAGGAGGGAAAGGAAGAGGAATTGAGGGAGGAGAAGGAGGGGAAGAGAGAATGGGGGAAGAGCAGGAGGATGAGGAGATGAGGAGATGTGGAGAGAGGGAGAATGAAGAACACCAGTGGGCAGCGGCAGCCCAGGTGTTCAAGGGCCTGGACGAGGATGAGGAGGGCTTCCTCTCCAAAGGCTTCTTGCCTCCTCCCTCTTCCCATCTCTCTCCTCTTCCTGCTGCTCCCATCAGCATCCTCATCATTCTCGCCCCCATCCTTCTCATACTATTATCCTGCTGCTCCTCCCCCCCGCCCTTGCGAATCCTCCATGCCCATCTTCCATTCTTCCCCTCTATATCCCTCTCCCACCCCCCTCCCCCTCCGTACTCATTATCTGCTTGCTCCTTTTTACCTAACATCGAAGACTGATAGGTTTCTCATGGACTAAAAAGAGAGCAGCACATTACTCCACAGGGGGGTCTGGGCAGCCGTTGGGGAGCCGTTGGGGGCCGTTGGGGGGCCGTTGGGGTTTGCCGGGGGGGATCGTTTTTCGCATACAGTCACACACTTCGTGCTTTTCGATTTCCCAGAACTCCATTCCCGGGCCACATTCTGAATGCCCGGAGCCAACTGTACGCCACTTCGTGCTCTTCGACTTCCCAGAACTCCATTCCCGGGCCACATTTTGGATGCCCGGAGCCAACTGTAGGCCACTTCGTGCTCTTCGACTTCCCAGAACTCCATTCCCGGGCCACATTTTGGATGCCCGGAGCCAACTGTAGGCCACTTCGTGCTCTTCGAGTTCCCAGAACTCCATTCCCGGGCCACATTTTGATGCCCGGAGCCAACTGTAGGCCACTTCGTGCTCTTCGAGTTCCCAGAACTCCATTCCCGGGCCACATTTTGGATGCCCGGAGCCAACTGTAGGCCACTTCGTGATCTTCGAGTTCCCAGAACTCCATTCCTGGGCATGATTTTGAATGCCCGGAGCCAACTGTAGGCCACTTCGTGTTCTTCGAGTTCCCAGAACTCCATTCCCGGGCCACATTTTGAATGCTGAGGCAGGCTGAGGCTGAGGCAGGCTGAGGCTGAGGCAGGCTGAGGCTGAGGCCGAGGCTGAAGGCAGACTGAGGCTGAGGCTGAAGCAGGCTGAGGCTGAGGCTGAGGCAGGCTGAGGCTGAGGCTGAGGCTGAGGCAGGCTGATGCTGAGGCAGGCTGAGGCTGAGGCTGAGGCTGATGCAGGCTGAGGCTGAGGCAGGCTGAGGCTGAGGCCGAGGCTGAAGGCAGACTGAGGCTGAGGCTGAAGCAGGCTGAGGCTGAGGCTGAGGCAGGCTGAGGCTGAGGCTGAGGCTGAGGCTGATGCTGAGGCAGGCTGAGGGCTGAGGCTGAGGCTGAGGCAGGCTGAGGCTGAGGCTGAGGCTGAGGCTGAGGCCGAGGCTGAAGGCAGGCTGAGGCTGAGGCTGAAGCAGGCTGAGGCTGAGGCAGAGGCAGGCTGAGGCTGAGGCAGGCTGATGCTGAGGCAGGCTGAGGCTGAGGCTGAGGCTGATGCAGGCTGAGGCTGAGGCAGGCTGAGGCTGAGGCCGAGGCTGAAGGCAGACTGAGGCTAAGGCTGAAGCAGGCTGAGGCTGAGGCTGAGGCTGAGGCAGGCTGAGGCTGAGGCTGAGGCAGGCTGATGCTGAGGCAGGCTGAGGCTGAGGCTGAGGCTGAGGCTGAGGCTGCAGGCTGAGGCTGAGGCAGGCTGAGGCTGAGGCCGAGGCTGAAGGCAGACTGAGGCTGAGGCTGAAGCAGGCTGAGGCTGAGGCTGAGGCAGGCTGAGGCTGAGGCTGAGGGCTGAGGCAGGCTGAGGCTGAGGCTGAGGCTGATGCAGGCTGAGGCTGAGGCAGGCTGAGGCTGAGGCCGAGGCTGAAGGCAGACTGAGGCTGAGGCTGAAGCAGGCTGAGGCTGAGGCTGAGGCAGGCTGAGGCTGAGGCTGATGCAGGCTGAGGCTGAGGCAGGCTGAGGCTAAGGCTGAGGCTGATGCAGGCTGAGGCTGCGGCAGGCTGAGGCTGAGGCGGAGGCTGAAGGCAGACTGAGGCTGAGGCTGAAGCAGGCTGAGGCTGAGGCTGAGGCAGGCTGAGGAGGCAGGCTGAGGCTGAGGCTGAGGCAGGCTGAGGCTGCAGGCAGACTGAGGCTGAGGCTGAAGCAGGCTGAGGCTGAGGCTGAGGCAGGCTGAGGCTGAGGCTGAGGCAGGCTGAGCTGAGGCAGGCTGAGGCTGAGGCTGAGGCTGATGCAGGCTGAGGCTGAGGCAGGCTGAGGCTGAGGCCGAGGCTGAAGGCAGACTGAGGCTGAGGCTGAAGCAGGCTGAGGCTGAGGCTGAGGCAGGCTGAGGCTGAGGCTGAGGCTGAGGCTGAGGCTGAGCAGGCTGAGGCTGAGGCAGGCTGAGGCTGAGGCCGAGGCTGAAGGCAGACTGAGGCTGAGGCTGAAGCAGGCTGAGGCCGAGGCTGAGGCAGGCTGAGGCTGAGGCAGGCTGAGGCTGAGGCTGAGGCAGGCTGAGGCTGAGGCTGTGACTGCGACTGCCGTTGCCACTGCGACGGTCATCGCGAATGCGACTACGACTGCGAGAACAGCAGAATTCTACGACTGGATTCTCATCCGAATCTTAAGGGGAATGCTTCCAGATATGCTCCTACACATCGATGTTAGGTTGCTTTGCCGGGATAATTCCTTCCATCTGGTGTTCTTCATCCTTCTGCTCCTGTCCACAGGCCGCTTTGGGATGATCATGATTTCTGTCATGAAAGTTGTCACAGAGACCAAACTCTCGAAAGAAGCGGCCGCCGACAGTGACGCGGTGAGGCAGCTGGGTATGGGGTGAGGATCATTGTATTGCGATGAGGATGAGGGCATGGTTTGAGGATGAGGAATGAGGTGCTTCATCTTGAACATTGATCAGCAGCGGTTATTGAATCGCTTCGCTCATTCCGCCGGCCCATACGGTCTCATGTCTGCCGTTTGCCCGAGGGCCTGGTGTCAATGCGGCGCTTTGGGGGTTCCTGGGGCCGCTTGGGGGACTCCTGGGGCGCTCGGGGGGGCATTTGGGGGGCCTCCTGGGGCCGCTTGGGGGACTCTTGGGGGCCTCCTGAGGGCCTCGTGGGGGCCTCTTGGGGCCTCTTAGGGGCCTCTTGGGGCCTCGTAGGGGCTTCTTAGGGCCGAGGGCCGTCGTGTGTTCTTGGGGCCCTCTTGGACCGTCTTGGAGGCTTCTTGGGCCGTCTTCGAGCCCTCTTGGGCCATCTTGGGGCCCTCTTGGGGGCCTCTTGGGCCCTCTTGGGGCGATCTGGGGGCCTCTGGGGCCGTCTTGGGGCGTCGGGAACCGAAAAGGTGGAAGCTCGGAAAAACAATGAATTTTGCCTTGGGAGTGCTCTGGGAGGCCTCTTGGGGCGTCTGGGGGCTATCTTGGGCGTCTTGGAGCGATCTTGTGGCATGTCTCGTGTAGGGGGCCTCTTGGGGGCCTCTTGGCCTTTCTTGGGGCTCTCGGGGACGTCTCGGAGCCTTGTTGGTGCGCTCATGGAGCGCTCCTGGACGCTCTGGGGGACTCCTCCCGGGAGGACCTTGCCGGGGTACTTTTCGTCCGGGGACCCCCAGGGGCCGCCCCGCGCGCGCGAACTAGAGAATTCTTAACCAGTTACCGGAGATCTTAGCACGCCTCTGGCCCGTTGGGCCGGCGATTTTTTCTTGTAGTACAAACTTATGTTGAAGGACTAACAGCTTACATTAGCTTGGGGCCGCCAGGCCTGGGGGTGGAGCCGGGCACGGGTGTTCCAGAAGTCGGCTCTTGCGAATGTTTATGTTCATTCGGGTGCAACCCTCACATCCAACCTTCTTTTCGTGTCGCCAGGGCTCCACATTCTGGACTTATGTTGATTATCTGGGGGCAATTTCCCAGTTGTTCGCAGCATCATCTTACAGGGCTTCCATTCCGCGCCAAGATGCAACCTTGACAGTGATCCAGCTCTCCGTGTTGTCGGAACCCTTGTCCCAGGATTGACGTTGAGCGCTTCCGGCATTTCTTTATCTTCGTGTCGCCAGATCCCTATTCCCGGGACCGATCTTCAGAATCCAGCGCCACTTGTCCGGCGTGTCGTGGATTGCGCGTTGCCAGATCTCCACCAGACAGCCCCAGCTCCAGCTCTGCTCCAGCTTGAGATCCAGTTCCATCTCCAGCCCCAGTTCTACTTCTAGCTTCAGTTCCGGCCCTAGCAGGAGTTGCCAGTGCATGTTACACGGGCCCGTTCGCGCCCACGTTATGGGGATGTTTCAGGCGAAACAATTGTTTGACTTGCCCGACATCTTTTTCCAAAGCCCCTCCCAAACATCGCGATGTTTCGAACAAGGGACTCGGGTGATCCAAGATGAAGCCGACCAGCGGTCTGTCGCCGGCCTAATGGCACACCCTTTTCCCAGTTGTTCTGCACGAACGGAATGGGCACTGAAAGAATGGGTACAATGCCCAACACCAGTTCCTGTTCATTCCCTACCTAGGCTCTGCATAGAAGGGTTCTTACTCGCTTGGCTTAAAGGGCCGGGCAGTGGAAAGCGCCCCGGGCGGTTCCCCCGGTCCCGTGGGAGCCAAGTAAAAGCAACAGCAAAGGTAAAAGCAAACGCGCGGTTCCCCCAGTTGCGCCCTTTGGGTGCCAAGCAAAAGCAAAAGCAAAGGCACAAGTGAAGGCAAAAGCGAAGGCAAAGCAAAATCATAGCATATCATAGCATAGCCTAGCGCAGCACAGCATAGCATAGCTTAGCCCAGCATAGCATAGCATAGCATAGCATAGCATAACATTGCATATCATAGCGCGGCACAGCATCCACTATTGTTGCTGCTACATATTCATGTATGTGTGTCTATTTATATGTGTGTGCGCACGTGTGTTCCATGCATGTTGTCCGTCTGTGCGCCATCTTGAGCCCTTAGTGGGGCAGCTTGAGCCCTTAGGATTCACGGAAGTTTCGCACATAGCACCGACCGGGAAACATGAAAACCTACGTATTATCGCATGTCCTAAATGTCTTTCTACAAAATTCAAATATGTGCGTATATATATATATGTATATATACATATATATATATATATACATATGTATATATATATACATAACACCCATGTGGAATGCTGCATGTGTGTGCGCGTGTGTGTGCATGTATTTGTTCAGCACCGGCGTTTACCGATCCCACTAATGTTGTTTTCCTAGAAGCTCCAACTCCTAGGTAGGGTCGCACAGGGATAATTTTAAACAGCGCTCGCTGTCGGTATCACCGCGGCCTGTGTCCATTTGAGACAGAAGGCCGCCTGCCCAACAGCGGCCGATGTTGCTTTGGGACGACATGTGTTCCTCCTCCTTGTCTGCATTCTCGTGGTACTCCTCCTCCTCCTGAGGGGAAAGGAACAGAAGCCCGAGGATGGGAGGAGGACGAAGCAGGAGGAGAAGGAGGAGGAGGAGGAAATGCACCCGGAGGAGCAGGAACAAACGCTGAAGCAACCAGACAGGAGGAGGTGGAAGAACAGCAGGAATCGGAGGAATTATATTTATGATGTAGATGGTGTAGATGATGTAGATGGGGTGGAAGAGGATTTGGCGAGGCAGCATCGTTGGGGATCCGCAGGAGGAGCGTGAGCAGCCGGCGGGCGTTGCAGAGCAGGAGCAGCAAGGAGGATCAGGAGAAGCACGAGGTTGCAGTGATACAGCCCTCAGGTCATGATGAGGAAGAGGGGGGCGGATGAAGAGCAGCGTGAACAGGAACAACCGGGAGAGCAGGAGAAGCAGGAGGAGCAGGAGCACGAGGTGCAGGAGGGGGAGGAGCTGCAGCACTAGGAGGAGGGGTTGGAGCAGCAGGAGGAGGGCACGGAGTATGAGAAGGGTCAGGAAATGCAGGGTTTGTGCGCGGCGAGGCAGTCAGTTGGATAATGCAGGGGACGGGGACGACGGGTAGGGGCAGAGGGAGGAGGAGGAGCAGCGGCAGCAGGAGCAGCAGAAAGAGCAGGAGGAGGAGCAGGAGTTATGGGAGGAGGAGGAGGAGGAGGAAGAAGAAGAAGAAGAAGAAGAATAAGAGGAGGAGGAGGATGAAGACGACGACGACGACGACGAGGGTCACTACGTCCCGTTGTTCCTCCTCCTCCTCCTCCTCCTGCTTGTCGGTTCCTGCTCCTGCTCCTGCCCCCCCCCTGATCGTTCCACAGGCAGCTGGACAAGGGAGAGGTGGTCGAGGTGATCGAGGCTCCCGTCGAGGAAGGGAAGACCAAGCGCGCAAAGGTGGTCGCCATCAAGGACCGCGACCGTGTCAGATGTCGCCAGCACGGTGACTATCCTCATCTTTTTCTTCTTCTTGCTCCTCCTTTCCCTCCACTCTTCCTGCCTTTCCTCGTTGTCTTCGCTCCTCTCCTCTTCGTACACCTCCATCGCGTCCTCATTCTTCGCTGTCTCACCCTCATCATCATCTTCCTCAGGCTCCTCGCCCTTATCCGCCTTCTCATCCTCCTGATCCTCCACCTTCTCCTTCTCCTCCTCCTCATCATCCTCCTCTCCATCCTCGTTGCCATCGAGGACGGCGCCGCGGGCTACGTGACCGTGACAGATGACGCTGGCGCGGTGTTCCTCAGAGAGGGTGGCAAGATGTTCAAGGCCAGCTCGACTGGGAAACCCCAGGGTGCGAAAGAGGGGGCCCTTCCTCATCTTGTTTTTCTTCTTCCGCATCTTTACCATACTCCTCGTCTTGCCTCATCAGATTTTCCTCCCGTTTCGCCCGTCCTTCCTGCCTGCTCGTTCTTATTCCTCCTCCTCCTCCTCATCCTCCCCGTGCCCTCCTAGTGTCTTCCCCTCATCCTCATCCCTCCCCCTTTTCCCCCTCACGTTACTCCCCCCCTCCACCTCGTCACCCTCGCGCTCATCCATTCCATCCTCCTGCTTACCACTCCCCACTCCCGTGGCCATGCCGATCCCCGCAGACGGTCGTTCCCTCGTTGCCCTCCTCGTCCTCCTCTCCCTCCTCCTCCAAGGCCCTCCTTGGCTGAAGGCGCGGGCCCTCCGAGAGGCGCGGCACTCGCGAGCGAGCGAGCCGCCGCGGCGCGTGCCCGCGCCGACCCCCCGCGGACCTCGTCGAGGAGGCCGCGCGGAGGGCGCGCGGCGGCGCCTCCTCGGCCCTGTCGCCCTTGGCGGCGGCGGCGGCGGCGGCCCGAGCGGCGGCGCCGCGGTCGGCACCCCGGAAGCGAGGGCCACGCGCAGGCCAGATCGGGGCTCAAGAGACGGGGGTCCATGCAAACGGGGGTCAGCCAGAGCGCCAGATCCTGCAGGATCCTGCGAAGGCCCCCTCTGGCTGACCCGGGTTAGCGAGCCGCTCGTGGCCGCAAGGCGGCCGCTCGCATTGGCTGACCCGGGTTTGCGAAGGCCTGCGTTGCAGTTTTTTTTGTTTCCTGCATTTCAGTTTTTTGGTTTCCTGCTGACCCGGGTCTGGATTGACCCGGGTCAGATCCCCGACAGGCCAGAGCTGCGCGGTCGGTGCGATCGAAGTGAGCACAGTCGGCCCGCAGGGTGAGGCTGGGCACCCTTCCCAAGGGTACCCCTGGCATCCTCGGTCCATCCGTGGCCACTCTCGTTGGCCGCGCCCCGCTCGGGAAGCTTCGAGAGGGCCCTTCAGGGCCCTTGGCATCCTTGTCGCGCGTCCTTATTATACGGGTGGTCCATATTTCAGAGCCTCCTAGATGGGGTCGGAGTATGCGGGGTCGAAGGATCGCGCCGCATCGTCGATGCATCGACGATGCGGCTCGATGCGCGGCCAGATGTTCTGCACGCCGGCGTCGCCGATGCGTCGCCGACGTCGGCGACGCGTCGACAGTGCAACGTCGATGCATTGGCGATGCGGCGCGATTCCCCGACCCCATCTATTCGGACTAGGACCTGAGGCCTTTAAAAAAGTGGACACGCAGACCGACAGCAGTTCCTGTTCATGCTGAACATAATTCGCTGGTGGCGTCGCCGCGGTCGTGGTCCATCTGAGGCAGTGGGCCGCCTGCCCAACAGCGGCCGCGGTCGATTTGGGGCAGTATTTGCTTTTGGACATCGTACGAATTGTTTCCGTACCAATTTTGGCCGTCCAATTTCGGGCGTCCAAATTCCAAATTCCGGACATTTTCCAGAGCCGCGGGAATTCAGAGATTCTCAAGTTGTCTTAACCCGATGTTATCCTCGTCCTGGTTTCGTCTCAAATGGAGAATGTTTCCACCTGCGTTTGTAATTTTCTCGGGCGTGCCAATGCGTCATCTCCGCAGAACGCATCCATACAGCGTCACTATGCCTGGCCAGGGCCCTCCTGGGCCCCAGGATGGTGCACAGGTCCTTCTGGCCTCGGTCTGGAGGGCGCGTGCACAGTGTACGGGCCCAGGTTTGGCGCGTTCTTGGGCTCACCTGGGATCCGCGGCTTCGGTGGCCTGTTCCACCATTCGACGCACTGCTTCCAACAGTAATGGTCATGTCGGGCTCCAACCGCCAGCTGACCTTTGCACTGGCGGGGCGCCGCGGTGTCAGTCGGCTGTCGCAGGGATAGCTAGGCGCTGTGGTGTGTCCCGAGGATGTATTGTGCATGGGCCGCGCGCATCACCTGGAATGCTGGAAGCTGCACGCTCCCGTCGGAGCCGCCGATGCAAGGCGGGCCTCTTACGGGGCAGGGCTGATGTGGTCTTTGGGCCTCCTCTGCGGCCGGCGAAGTGCACGGGCACGGGCTAGAACCTGCGACAATACAGCAGCAGGTGAAGACGCCAGACTTTGGTCAGCTGCGGGGGGCGCTGCGGGGCCGAAACCCCTGCCGTTCCCCGCGCTCGCCGCTACGAGCGCCGCCGACATCGAGCCCCCAGCTCACAGCGCAGATGTTGAGGTGACACCGCGAGGAGCCTGCGGCCGGGGCGGTCGCGGGGCCGAGCTCTGCAGACACCGTGGGGCAGTCTTTTGCCGTGGGGGCGGCCACTTGCCGAGAAGACGAGAGATGCAGGCGCGAGGCCGGTGCGGCGGTGTGGCCAGTGGGAACTGGCGCCGCGGAGGTGGTGGTTGGCGTGGCTGCGGCAGCAAGCTGCGCGGGCCTCGCGGAGCGGCCCTATCGCGGGAGCGGCTGCTCTCGCCGCGGGCCCAGCGGCGGCAGCGCCTCCCCTCCCCCCCATGGGCTTCACGGTTTCCTCGTCCGCCTCTTCCTCCGCCTGCTCTTCGCCCTCTTCCCGCAGCGCCAAGACACTGTGCTCCGATGTCTTGCCCATGCAGCGACCCCCCCCCTTTCCCCTCGCTCACGGAGGGCCCGGTGGATCGCAAAGACTCTGCTGGTCAACTCCCGGCACAAGCTCCTGCGCAAGCTTGCGTCGTGAGGGCCTTCGCGGCATGCGTCGTGGGGTACTCGCGCTCCGAACTCGGGGTCTTTGGTTGCTCTTATCTAGGCCTCCCCGATGGGGTCCGAGTAGATGGGCGCGGAGGATCGCGCCGCATCGCCGATGCGGCTCCATGCGGAGCCCGAAGTTCTCCACGTCGACGTCGCCGAGGCATCGCCGACGTCGACGATGCATCGGCGGTGCGGGGCCTTCGGCTGCTTTGAGCAGTGCCGCCCCCGCAAGCGAGGCAGGATGCGGTCGGGAGGGTTCGCGCGGTCGGGCCCCGCTGGCGCGAGCTCTGCGAGCGCACGCGCCTGGGCGCCGCTCGTGCCACTAGCTCCGGGTCGGCGGCCAGCGCCCGCAGCAGGACTCTACCCTCACATGAGCGTGTGTGTAAAGCCTCTGGGCCACAGCGCGCGTGCCCCCCCCCACCCTGCCCCCAAAATAACGTAACGCCCCTCCTCCATGCCACGTAGCGCGCTTCCAGCAGTGCCACTGCGATGCTCGCAGGCTACTGCAGTGTTTGGAGGCTGGTTTGACTTTCGTCGTGGTGTCCGAGGGCCTCGCAGAGTCTGCAGACGCTTCCAGAGGCCTCTGGAGATGTCCTGAGGCCTCTGGAGACATCAGCAGACCTTCAGAGGCGGCCGTCGTTGTCGTCGTCGTCGTCGCGTCGTCGTCCCCGTCCCCGTCCCCGTCCCCGTCTTCGTCGTTGTTGCCGTCGTCGTCGGTGGCGACGTCGTCGTCGCCTTCTTCGTCCCCCATCTCGTCCTTGTCCCTGTCATCGTCGTCCTCGTCCTCTTCGTCCTTGTCGCGGTCGTCGTCCTCGTCGTTGTCGTCTTCGTCACCGAGAGCCTCGAAGGGCTTCCAGACGCCTCCCTCCAGACGTCTCTGGAGACCTCCTAAGGTCTCTGCAGACCTCTGGAGACCTTCAGAGGTGGCCGTCGTCCTCGTCCTCGTCGTCGTCTTCGTCCTCACCGTTGTCGTCGTCTTCATCGTCGTCCTTGTCTTCGTCCTCTTCCTAGTCTTCGTCATCGAGGGCGTAGAATGGCTTCCAGACGTTCCCGGAGGTCTCCGGAGACCTAAGGCCTCCAGAGACCATCAGAGACCAGCAGAGGCGGCCGTCGTCGTCATCGTCGCCCTCGGCATCGTTCTCGTCGTCGTCCCCGTCCCCCTCCCCGTCCTCGTCGTCGCCGTCGTCGTCTCCGTCCTCGCCCTCGTCCTCGTCGTCCTCGCCGTCGTCGTCCTTGTCCTCGTCCTCGTCCACGTCCTCAACGTCGTCGGCGAGGGGCTCGAAGGGCCTCCAGGCGCCGCCAAAAGGCTCCGGAGACTTCCTTGGGCTTCTGCAGGCCTTCGAAGACCTTTCGTCGTACTCGTCGTCGTCCTTGTCCTTGTCCTTGTCCTCGTCGTCCTCGTCCTCGTTGTCCTCGTCCCAGTCCTCGTCCTCCTCCTAGTCTTTGCCGTCGCCGTCGTCGTCCTCGTCGGGTCGTCATCGTCGTCGTTGTTCTCATCCCCGTCCTTGTCCTTGTCGTCCTCGTCGTCGCCGTTATAGTTGTTGTCTTCGTCCGGCGCTCGGGTGCCCCCGTTGTTCATTAAACACTTGTATATAAGAATGTTCGAAGAAGGGTGTGGTGGGGAAAGACACTGTGGTGCACGATGGTGTGCGTATGAACTGCGCAGTACTCGGGCGTTGTGGTGCACGCGGCTGCGGCGCGGCGGTGCATTCTGTGCTGCGCGCTGCGGTGCTTGCTGTGATGCGCACAGGCGCTTTGGTCCTGGAGCCATACGACGTGGGGTGGGGAGGCGTTACGTTATGCCCCACGTCGCCCCCCCAGTGGCGCCGATTACGGCCGCGAATCTAAAAACGCGCTACATCTCGTCGCCTACTCCTTGCCGCTTTGCAGCTCCTTCTCTACCACGCCCACGTCCTCCTGCTCGTCACGCTCCTTCTCCAGATCCCTTGCAGCGCTGCCCCACCAGATCCCCTCCCTCCCGTTCCTCCTGCTCGTCTTCCTCCTCCACCTCCCGCCCCTCCACCTCACCCGCATCCCCCCCTTTGCCATCAGCCCTCATGCGATGCGCTCCCGGGGAAGACAAGAGCGTCTGCTCCTCCTCGTGTCCCCCTGGCGACCCCCATCCTGATGCTTCCCTGGGAGAGAGGAGCCCTCCTCTCCGCCCTCGTGCCCTCCTCCCGACCCGCATGGTATGCCCGCCTGCGGAGCAGAAGCAGTATCTCCACCTCATTCTCTTCCTGATTCCTCTTCCTCCTTTTCCTGCCTCCTGCCTCCCTCCCTCCCGATATGCCCCCCTTGACTAAAGCCATGCTTTCTCCCCCTCCCTCCCGCCGAACCATCACTATCATCCCCTCATTCCCCAACCTCATCCTCGGGCACCGAGCCCAAGGGATCCTCAGTTTCCTAGTCATCCTCCTTCTGTTCTTCTTCCACCAAGCCATCCTTTTGAACAGATGCTCCTCGTCATCGTTACCAGTATCATTCGGATCTTCGTGCTCAACGTCATCCTCGTCATCGCTTCTCTCCTCATATTCTTCTCAATCTACCAAGTTGGGGCGCCAGCGGGGCGACGCGGCAAACAAACCACTATATCGCCCCAAGCAAGTTCGGACATAACTACTTCGATGCCCCGAGATATCGACCCTCCCTCCCGCCGGGCTGCCCATCGGATTTACGATCTGCCAAGAAGGTGGTGAAGGAAACCATCATGACCGAATGCTTCGACCTCGAGGAAGATGCTTCAGAAAATAAGGTGGCCGCCAGAAAGCTCAAGGTGGGAGAGCTTGTCGAGGTCAGGGAGTACCCGAAGAAGGAGGAGAAGTCTGGGCTCACACGCATGAGGTGCAAGGCCAAGACGGACGGCCGCCTTGGCTGGGCCACCACTCTCGGCAATGTCGGGGCGGTGTTCTTGGAGGTCGCGTAGGGCTTCGCAGTATGCTCAATACGATCGAGTCTCCGAAAAAAAAAGAGAATGGGAGCGGCAGCGTGTGCAGCATGAGGACGGAGGCAAGGGATCATTCCCCCAGTCCGGCTAATGGTGTAACACGTGGCATTGTTCGTCCTTGGTGTCCAGGAAGCCGTACCATGTGTCTGTTCCGTTCGTCATGCCCGCATGCTTTTGAAAGTCGTAGAACATGGGATCGCCGTACCATGCGACACATCCCATCCCAGGGCCCATGCGCAGCGCCGTAACATGTACCAGACTCTCCAGCACAGGGGGGCGTAGTTACATGTGACAGCTCCCTTACATGACCCAAGAGGGCCGCGACATGCGAAAGCTGTCTTCTCCAGGCCCCATCAGAGCGCACGTGGGGCTGATCTGGGGCGTCCCTGGTGGCTTCTTGTGAGCCTCCTGGAGACGTCCCTGGGGACCTGACGTCCGAGTGTGTCCTGGGGCCGTTTTGGACACGTCTTTAGCCAATGTTGGGGTCGTCGCGGGACGCTTTGGGTAATATAATTGCCGTCTTCAGGCCGTTCTGCATCTTGGAGGCCGATTTGAGGGGGTCGTGTGGCCTATGTTGGCTTCTTGGGAGACTGGGCTGCAACCAGACAGCAGCACTGGAACATTTTAATGCGGTGCTCCTATCTTGTGGCTTTTTCGGCCCATCCCGCTGGGTTGCGTGTCAGAGTTCTCAGGGATGTTTTTTTTCTGGCCTCTTCGGGGCGCTCTTCGTGGGAGCAGCTTTGTTGCCTGATAGGGTCCTCTTGGGAGCCTCTTGGGGGCTTCTTGGGGGCCGACTGGGGCCTCCTGAGGGCCCTCGGGGCCGAGGGCTCGAAATGTCCGTTCGCGTCCCCCATTGAGGCCCCCTCTTGGGGTCGTCTTTGGGCACTCTTGGGCCGTCCTGGGAGCCTCTCGGGCCGTCGTGGGCCCTCTTGGGCCGTTCTGGGGTCTTCTAGGGCGCTTCTAGGATCGTTTTGGGGCGACCTTGGGGGCCTCATGGGCCGTCTTGGAGCGTCGGAAAGCCGAAAAGGCGAGAAAACCAAAGGGAAATCACTAATTGTTGCCTCTTGGGGCTCTCTTGGGACGCCTCTTGGAACAATCTTGGGGGGCGTCTTCGGAGCCTTGTGGGCCGAGTTGGGGCCATCTTGGGCGCATTGGGGTACTCTTGGGCCTTCTCGGAAACAAGTCCGGCCCTCCCGAGCGCTTTTGGGGCCCATGCTTAACCGGCTGCGCTACCGGAGAACGCGCGCGACACGCCCGGGGAACCCCGGGCATCCCCAGAAATCTGGGGGGAATTCCCGGGAATCCCAGGGAAATCTGGGGAATCCCCAGAATTTGTTGCCTTTCAAACTTTTTAAAACCTCGCGATTCTGAGCTTTTCAGGGCTGGGCCTTGGGGCGCTCCACAGGCACGGTGGCGGATTACAGGCATGAGCTGCGCTGGTACTCTAAAGGGAGCTGGGGGACGTAAGGAATGGAAGCGAGCGTGCGCCCGCGGCCGCCTTGGCTCAAAGCGGCCGGCCGCCCAGACTTGATTGTGCCTCACCGCGAGGCACACAAACGCTATCAAAACCAACAGGTACCCCCTCATGCTTAAGATGGCATCTCCTCTCGCACTGGGACTATCGGTGCTACGATACAACAGAGCTGGAGCTTGGCTTCGCCTGAGGCGAAGCTGTTGGCTGGGCCTTCCAGCCCCCTTCAAACTTTGTAGCGGAACTGGCCTATGGTGGTCAGCTCTAGTTCTACTCCTCACCATCCACGGCACCATCTGGTGGACTACAGATACGGCGGAACATCAGGGTGCAGTGGCACTGCGCGGAGGAATGTACATAGCTACGCAATACCGCAAGGAAGCTTGCAGCGACACCTCTGCTCCAGCGGAGGTCTCTTACTCATATATTACATCCCTGCGCTATTACACTCCTGAAGTCCACCCACTTACTCCAATTGGAAATTTCTTCGATGACGTAATGCATGGGAACATGCGATGCGATATACTGCCGCCTCCGACCCCACGCAGACTTACGACGACAACACACAAGTTTCCACCGACTACACCCGACTACGACCAGCGAGGCCATTGGGTTGGGGTTACCATCTTTGGGCTCATATGGGTCGCTCTTGGATGTGCGGTGGGACATATGCGGGGCGGAGACGACACTAGGACGACTGGCCCCCACTGGGATCCTGCCAGTCAAGTGCCATTTCGCGAGTTTGTCCGCGAGGTACACGCCTGGATCAATGTGACCACAGGCAACGGGACGCCCTCTCAGACCGACGGCGTCACCGACGGCGTCTCTAAGTACGAAGGTCGAGAACCTAGAAGAAGAACGCCAACTCAACTTCGGCACGGCTCTCATTGACTTTCGTGTCCATGCGGGAGAACGAACCGACCAGACGTTAGCACGGTTAGAGAGAGCCCGCGACAAAGCCGAAACCGCCGGCTCCAACATCCCCAACTTCCAGATATGATCGGTAATATTATTCAGAGCTCTGGGAGTGGGGACCTCGCGGGCACAGCAACTCCTGCAGCTTCTGAACCACCACATGCCGAGGGACCAAGCACAATTCGATGCTCTCCTCGAGCGTATGAGGTCATATGCCCACATAGCTGAGAGGACCCCTGGCAATATTGATGTTTGTGTTAGTCACGGTCACCGAACCGAGACCTTCCACGCAGAGCTCAACGCAGGGCAACTTGTTAACAACGCCTGGAACGATGATATAGTGGCGACTGAGACCACTACACTGTTGGCTCAGAATGGCAGAACGGCCTCGGGGTCGCAAGACCCCTTTGCCACATCTAGGGGGCCGCCCGATGCGGTCTCCCCTTTACAAGCTATGACCCTGGTGGGCTCTGCGGGGCAAACCGCCGAGTCCGATTTCGACTCCGGCACCGATGCCGATACGTCTTCTGATGATGAGGCTACCGCCTTGGACAACTCTGATATGTTTACATACCTTACCGAAGAGCAGCAAGCTCTATTTTTTGGGGGGGCTATCAAACAACACAAGCGCCGCTGGCGGAGGTTCATGAAGAACCAATCAGAAGGGTAAGGCGTATGGCACGGCGGACACTTAAAGGAAAAAGGCAAGGGCCGAAGTAAGGGCAAAGGTAAGCGTTGGCGACTACATGGTCGAGGCATACTAGCATTCCTAGCGTCTCTCACTGGGCCCCAGCATGAAGAATTGTTTGTAGGCGCTGGCAGAAACCGTAGGCATACATCCGGTAAAGGTGAAGGACGACGAGGAAATCCAAAATATGCCAACGGTTAAATCATGGAGCGCGACATATGTCACAGTACACAACATTTCCGACGCGCGCGAATGCCCCCAAGGTGATGGAAGAAGCAGTGGTCCGTCAAATGAATTTGGCTCAAACGGACTCCGACATACAGCATGTTGACTGGGAGTCACTTCTGGCCGACCCTGCCGACGGCTCAGCCACAGTCATTCATTTCATGGTTGCCAGGTATCTAAGTGCCAGTATGACCCTCGAGAATTACGCCGACGAGCTGTTCGAGGAGGTGTTCGCTGGCCAAAACGACGTCGACTTGGCAGTGTGGCTGGGTGCACCCGTCGCGGGGCAACTTGCAGAGATTGAGTTTGTCGAGAACTTCCACATGCCCGCCGATGGTGATTTCGGCATGGCGGGGGCGCCCGCGGCCTCAGATTCTACCATTCCTGCAACAGATGAAGAAGTACATGCGATGCTGTGTCCTCGGGTGGTTGGAAATCCGACCAACACGGAATCGATCGATGGTGATCAATTGCGGGGAAGCCCGCGCGACGCTTGTGCCCTATCTGAACGTATTCCATATGAGCTTGGGCATATGGAAGAATTTCAGTCTATTTGCGTTGCGTCAGATCGGTCCGCTAGCAGTCCGAGGCGAGCGCCGAGCCGCCGACCCTTGATAAGGAAGAAGATCTATCATGACGACCCACGCCTCTCGCCAATGGACGACGAGGACGAACAGGGAGATGATGACCGTATGGTACGTCGCGGTCGAGTTCCTCGCCCCTCGCCATGGGTGCGAGCCCGCTCCGGCGGTGCTCTTTCGAGCGGTGCTCAGCGCCCTCATCCTCCTGCGGCGGGAACTTCAAGTGGCCCGCCAGGGCGGGCGTCGAGAGCACACGCCCCCCCAAGGAGGGGGCGTCTGCGGGGAAGCCCGTTTAAAGGGCTGGAATGAACCTGGATTGGGTCGTCGGCACATACCTGCAGATTAGATGGAATACTGTTTGAACAGAGGTTGGAAAGAACAGCAACTCCCTCACGGGCATTCTCTTCCCCAGGCCAAACGGGATGAGGATAGCACTATCATTCGCTCTTCGAGGGGGCAGACCAAATCGCAGGAAAGGGCGATCGCGCGTGATCGCAAGAGGGCCATCATTGAGGATCGAAAGCGCTACAGAGGCGTTTGGTGCCCGTGCCCCAGCTATGCCGATCGCAGGCTCGGCTGTCCCATGAGACGCCCATCAAGAAGCCCGAATCTCAAAAGAACACCGTGGGTTTGGTCTCATGGAAATGGTCGGGGTTACTGCACTGAGCCCAATGAAACGCCATTCGACGAACAGCCGCCGGAGCAGGATTGCGCCACTGTTATTCCTACAGAGATTTAACAAACAGAGGCTATTTGGCACAACTTGATAACTACTCACTATCCGGCGCAGTTCAATCGCGATTGGCACGCAGGGAGACCTGCCGATCATAAATCAGAAGAAGAATGCCAACAAGAAGCTGATGGAGATGAAGATGCTGCAGTGGCTGAAGAAGTTGATCCTACGGAAGCTGCCCTTGGCGACGGTGATCACCACCCACCAAGCCACCCCAACCCTACCCGAAGGCTCAGATTTACTCTCGATTTCCAGCGGGGGGGGGTCGGGAAACATAGAAAAAAAACGCGTGGAACCCTTGCCCCCCCCCCAACCCGAAATTCGGGTCTTCGGGTTGGGTTGGGGTGGTCTGGTAGGTAGTCAGGT